TCGGCCAGCAGGGACGCCAGGCCGCTACTCCCAGTTCGGTCGCATGGGGTGTTTTTCCACCGAGACCCGACAATACTTCGTAGGGTAAATCTGTCATGTCCACTTTAAATATTAATGCTAAATCTTCTTTTGGTACTTACTCTCATCTTGCAGGTTTTCCATCAGCAGAGGGAATCCTTGGATCTGTTCCATCTCCTATTGTGTGTCAAATTTGTTTCTCTGCAGGTCATTATGCCATGCATTGTCCATCTCGTTTTCTACAGTAGTCTGTGCCTGCTTTGGTTGCTCCTACAGGGGAATCTAATGAGGTTTTGTGGTATCCGGACTCCGGTGCCTCTGCTCACATGACATCACCTGAAGGTATTTTGTCAAATAAATCCTCTTATTCTGGCTCCATGAGTGTTAGTGTTGCGAATGGCACTAAACTTCCCATTGCTAATGTTGGAAATATTACATTAAACACTCTAAGTCGCCCATTGACACTACGATCTGTTTTTCATGTGCCTCGAATTAAATTCAATTTAATCTCCATTCAAAAATTGTGTGTTGATAACAATTGTGTTGTTGTTTTTTATAAAAACTAATTTTTTTGTAAAGGACAAAACTTCGGGGCAATTCTTCTTCAGGCGCGGCATAATGGCCATCTCTATCCTGTCAGCCTCAGTACGACTTCACCACTAGCTCTAGCTTCCATCACTACCCCTGGCCCTGTGTGGCACCGTAGATTAGGACATTGTGGCAAAATTGTTTTACGTCTGTTGCGTAGTAGAAAACTTATTTCTAGTTCCTCAAATTTTGAACATGATTGTGTTTCTTGTCGTTTGGGCAAATCTCAAAGATTACCTTTTTTGGATGCTAGTCATACTTCTTCTGCACCCTTACAATTAATTCATTCTGATGTGTGGCAATCCTCTGTCCTTTCTAATTTAGGTTTTAAATATTATGTGTGCTTTATTGATGATTTTTCTCGCTATACTTGAGTTTTTCCTTTGCGCACTAAAAATGAAGTTTTTTCTCAGTTTCGTTCCTTTAAAATTTTAGTTGAAAATTTATTTAATACTAAAATTAAAATTTTTCAAAGTGATGGAGGGGGTGAGTTTGTTACTTCTCCTATGCAACAATTTTTTTCTGACAATGTCATCTATTTTCAAAAATCTTGTCCTCATACTCCAACACAAAACGGTGTTGCAGAACGCAAACACCGACATCTTTTAGAATTTGCTAGGACTATGCTTCTCACAGCCTCTATTCCTAGCACCTTTTGGGTTGATGCTATCTTTACTGCTGCATATATAATTAACAGGCTTCTTACTCGTAATCTTTTTTGTGTCTCTCCATAATACATTCTTTTTCAACGACCTCCTCATTATAGCTTATTACGTGTGTTTGGGTGCGCGTGTTATCCCAATTTTTCTGCTTCTTCTTCAAATAAACTTTCTCCACGTTCTGTTCAATGTGTTTTTCTTGGCTATGCATCTGGATATAATAGATATCGTTGTTTGGAGCCCAAGTCAGGCAAAGTTTTATTAGTAGACATGTTCGCTTTCATGAAAATATTTTTCCATATGCCGCATTGTCTTCGTCTACGGGTCCTACATCTTCTCCTTCTACTCCTATTGATGACACCATCAACACTTCTCCTAGCTTTCCATTGATCATAGCTCCTCCACCTGCTCCCATAAACCCTAAACTCCCCACCTCCACCCCTCGACTGCCCCATTATTCCTCACCGCCAACCCCGAACTTCACCCAACCCACTACGCAACCACCCGACACCCCTCCGCACACACCTACCACCGAGCCCAGACTCTCCCTTCCGACGACCTCAACCACGCCCTACTCCCCTTCCTCTGGTGTTTTGTCTGACCGTGAATCCATCAGCGAACCAAGTCCTCCTCCCCCTAGCCCCACACCGCCAGTCAACATTCACCCCATGCAAACCCCATCAAAATCGGGAATTTTTAAACCAAAAACCATTTTTAATTTAAACACTGTTGTTTTATTAGCTGATCCTACTTGTTTTTCTGAGGCAAATAAACAGTTAAAATGACGTCAGGCGATGGCCGAGGAATTTAATGCTCTTATTTCTAATAAAACTTGGGATCTTGTCCCGTTTGATCACACTAAAAATGTTGTGGGCTCTAAGTTGATTTATAAGACAAAATTTCATTCTGATGGATCTATTGAGCATCATAAAGCTCGTCTGGTTGCTCAAGGATTTAATCAACAGGAAGGTGTAGATTTTTCTGAAACATTTAGTCCGGTCATTAAACCCACTACTGCTCGTATTGTTCTTACTTTAGCTATTTCCTTTGGGTGGGTTATTCGTCAGCTTGATGTCGAAAATGCATTCTTACATGGTCACCTCACTGAAGAGGTTTATATGCGTCAGCCGCGGGGTTTTTCTCATCCTTTGTTTTCTAATCATTTATGTAGATTGCGAAAAGCCATTTATGGTTTTAAGCAAGCCCTGCGTGCATGGTTTCATAGGTTTAGTAGTTTTCTGTTATCTCATCAGTTTACGTGCAACAAGTCTGATAATTCCTTATTTATTTTTCGCCAGAATAATAATGTTATTTACTTACTATTATATGTTGATGACATTATTATTACTGGTAATTCTTCCGCTAATATTCATTCCTTTATTCAGCTTGTTGCAAAACATTTTGCTATGAAAGACCTAGGTGATCTTCATTATTTTCTGGGAGTCCAGGCTTCTCGATCAGCCAAAGGTTTGTTTCTTTCTCAGCATAAATATGTGTCTGATCTTCTCACCCGTTTTCATCTTCACACTGTTAAGTCTGTTCGTACTCCATTAGCTACTCGCACCTCTCTCTCTCTATCTCTCTCTCTCTCTCTCTCTCTCTCTCTCTCTGATCGTGAACTCCTTGTCGATGCTACTGAGTATCGAAGTATGGTTGGTGCATTACAATATTTAACTTTAACACGACCTGATATTACTTATGTTGTGCATTTAGTGTCTCAATTTATGCATGCTCCTCGCACTACTCACTTTTTTGCAGTCAAGCGTGTTTTTAGATACTTACATGGGACATTGGATCATGGGTTGTGGCTTCAGCCTTCCATGCAAGCTTCTTGTATTATTGCCTACTCAGATGCAAATTGAGATGGTTGTCCTGATACGTCACGGTCCACGAGTGTTTTGCGGTGTTTTTAGGGCCCAATCTCGTTTCATGGAAGTCCAAAAAGCAACACACCGTCTCCAAGTCCTCTACCAAAGCAGAATATCGAGATGTTGCCTACACTGTCCAAGACACATTACATATTCGTTCAGTTCTCTTTGAGCTTGGTTACCCGGTTATAGTTCCAGTTCAGCTATTTTGTGATAATATATCTGCTTCATATTTGACTGCAAATCCAGTTCAGCATGCTCGAAGCAAGCACATTCAGATAGACTATCATTTTGTCCGAGAACGTGTAGCTCATGGAGACTTAGTTGTGAAGTACATCCCCACTCAATTACAGTTAGCTGATATTTTTACTAAGAGTCTTTCTAGTCAGCAATTTCACTTTTTGAGAGATACAACATGCGCGTTGTATCTCTCGCACAGTTTGAGGGGTGTAATAGAATATTATAAGGCATATTTGTTTCCTAGTATGTCTTGAACTCTTCTTATTATAAATATACAGACCAGGACTCCTATTGGAGTACCTTTCCCAAAATATTATCACATTCTAAAGCTAGTCTAGGTTTAAGCTCCTTATTAACGGATGTGAAATAGTTTACTACCCTCCCCCATGTAAAATATTTTACATGGTGCAGTGTAAAATGTTTTTAAAAAGTATCTTACAGTTTACATCAAATAATTAAAACAAACGGTGTAAAATGTTTCCTTCTTTGCACTTCGCATGCAAAGTGTTTACTTTACATCGTACCAAACGGGTCCTAAAATATTATTAATAAAAAGCTATGAACAAAAAAGTGATTTGATAACGTTTAGTGACTATATTTGTGTTCAAAGATTACATTTTAGTCACTACATTATAGTAATTTTGAATACAATTATGGTCACTAAAAGTTATCAAGTCACATTTTTGTCCACCACTTTTCAAGAAATAATATTAGTGAATTTTTTTTCATAAATCTATGCTATGGAGTAATAATAAAAGTCCAACTTCTATAATCTATATTATGTATTTCAATTAAAGTCTCATTTACATCATCTCAATAGTTGTTCCGCTAGTGATGATGGAGCCCTCAAGGATAAGATGACCTAGGGGTTGCTTGGAGCACCTTCTAAGCCGAAGCAGAATAACTTGGAGTACTTCTGAGAGTAATTTGGAGCACCTTGAAGTAATTCTGCACTTTCAACCAAACACTACTCCAATATTTATTTTTGCTCTCTTAAGAAGTAGAAGCAGTTTTAAGAAGTAGATTCAAACACTCTCTTATTTGTAAGAGAACCAAACAACTACATACTTGGAAGTCTAAATTCTGTTTGTTGTTTTGGTGAATCATATTTGGTGTTTTTAGTGCACTATTTTGATTAGGATAGGCAATTGGTTCAATTTGATCGAATCAAACCGTACCGAGTCAAATTAAATCGAATTGAAATCGAACTATATTCAATTTGATTTGAGTTTATTAATATTTCTTTTAAAATATAGTTAATAAACTCAAACTGAAACCGTGTAAAACCGAAAACAATTCAAACTAAATTATTCAAGGAAATATCATACTACCTTTTGGTTTGAAATTGTTACTAGTATTTAAAAAAAATAACCAACTCATACTAGATCCTTGATAGTTGATAGTCATTCTTCCGGAATACTATATTTGATTATTTTCGCGGAATTCTATGAGTTCTCAACTTCTCATACTATATTACTCCCTCAATCCCATTGGACTTTGCCAACTTTCCTTTTTTGATTGTCCTAAAAAACTTTGTCATTTTCCTATTAAAGCAACTAATTTGTGTTTCTGCACATTTCTCTCTTCTGCACAAATTTCAACCATACATTTTTTACTATTCTTATTTCTGACCTACTTTACACTTGCCAAAGTCCACCGGGACGGAGGGGATATTTGTTTAATAAACTTGGATTTTTTATACGCAAAAAGTTCTTATCATCCCATGTTTATTCCAAATAAGAAGTTTGGAACTGAATCTTATACTACATCCATGAGGTACATGCATTCGAACAATTTTATAAAGTTAGACCCGGAATATCACAATGGCAACCACAACCATATCTAAAAGCGGGGGTATCGATAAAAGCAATCGTCTTCAAGCATTTTGCTTCTGAGCGGCGGACTTGATTATCTCAACGAACTCAGCCTAATTTGACACAAAAGTTGCAGTAATGTCAGCACTAAAATAAGGCCTGTGTTAATCATATAACCAGAACAGCAGTAATTAATTATAATCATGGACTTTAACAAGCAAACCTTAAGAGAAGCTCCACCAACCAAAAAACCATCCACATCAGGCTTTGTTGCCAACTCTTTGCAATTTGCTCCACTCACAGAACCTGCAAGTTGTTGCTTTAGGGGGTGTTTGGATTTAATTTTTAAAACTGTTTCTGCTCCTTCAGGGAAAACAGATATTGTGTTTGGGTGAAAATGCAGAAGTACTTTTGAGGACTCCAAAATGCTCCTAGAAGAAGTTTTTTAGAAGTTGGGGGAGACCAGCTTCTGAAAACGGATTCTGGTTCTACTTCTACTTTTAGAGCAAATGAAATCCAAAACCAAAACCCCATCCACATGAGGCCAATGCTAATATTCACCATCTATACAAATCACGGGACAATTGTGTCTGGACAATTGTCCTAAATATATGCAACTATATGAAACCAAATTGCAGGCTAAATTGTGTCCTAAATATATATGAAACCGCGTCCTTTAAATTGATGTATCTTTCTGGACAACACTCAATCTCACAATGTAATTGCAGGCTTGCAGCAATCCAAAATTCCAAATCATGTGACATGTTTGATCTGCGCAAACCTCATAGGTAAAAGACTTTTCCTGATTATGGGAAAAAAAGCTATCCTATAATACAGAAAACTTGCAGACGATATATTTGTGTACCTCCATAGATGATCCTAGTTGAAGCAGCAACTTGAGGGCTAACATTGTCATGAAGCCATTTCCTCAGTTCAGAATGGACCTGGTAAATGAATGCACTTTTGCGGTCAACCAGTTTTTTACTAAGCGGATTCCTTAAGAATAAGAAATTAAGAAAGAGGGTTCATGCATGCTCCTTCGGTCCCCCCCACCCCAAAGAAAGTAATATTTGAAATCATTTAGTCCTATTTGAGCAAAAGAAAATATATTTGGTTATATTTAATGACCTTTTAGTCTCAAACAAGTTAAGCATATTGGATTTAGTTGAGTCAACAAAGAATTAAAAATATAGCTACAATGATTTATATTCAGTAGTTGTACCTTACTCTAAAGTCTAAATAAAACTTATACCTTGTTTTTTTTGTGAAATTGGATGCATGTGAGGTTGCTACCACAGAATGATTTTATAAAAATGTGCATAGATTGTCATCACTAGGAGCCGAATGTTAGACTCTAATATCAGCAAACAGTTTCCGTATTATTAGCAATGGAGATTGAGGAATTCTCAATACTCCAGAATGATTACAGGGAAGATAAAGAGAATAACAACCAAATCTAGAGAAGGAACAAGGAGTTTCTCTCTAGCCAAAGCCCAGCCATTTCTAACTGAATACCAGCCTGCCCTCCCCTATTCCCCTCCCTTATATTCAGAAATCAAACCAGCACATTAATTACTCCTGCCCCCTCATTCCCCTCCTCACATAAACTCCCGTCCCTTCATTCCCCTCCTCACATAAACTCCCGTCCCTTCATTCCCCTCCTCACATACACTTTATTAAAATACTCTACACCCCTTGTGCTATCATTACCCTCCCCTTGAACTACCACCTTGTCCCCAAGGTGGAATGTTGGGAACTGCTTCCGAAACTTGTTTAAATCTTCCCAAGAATCCTCAAAAGCTGGCAGCTGCTTCCAATGAATTAGCACTTCCTTCTCCCCATTAGGATTTACTCTGTAATCCACCACCTCTTCAGGCTGCACTTGTAACTCCCACTCTTCTGAGATGCAGGTAGGTAGGGGCTGGCAGGGAAGGTTAGGAGATACTGCCTTTTTCAGCAAAGAGATATGGAACACTGGATGCACTGTGCAACCCTCGGGTAGTTTCAGTTTGAATGCCACAAGATTTATTTTTTCTATCACTTCAAAAGGTCCATAGAATCTTGGGCTTAACTTCTGATTCATCCTTTTAGCTAGACTTTTCATTTTATAAGGCTGAATTTTTAAGAATACCTTGTCTCCCACCTCCACTTGTAAGGGCCGTCTATGTTTGTCAGCCTGCTGCTTCATCCTGTTTTGGGCCATAGCTAAACTGCTCTTCAATTCTTCTAGCATTAAATTCCTCTCAGCCGTCAACTTGTTGACTTCTTCTACTGATGTCACAGTTACATCTCCCCTCACAATATCGGGAGGATCTTGTCCATATAAGGCCTTGTAGGGGGTATTCTTGATAGATATGTGATAATTGGTATTGTACCAATATTCGGCCCATGAGAGCCATTTAGGCCACTGTTTAGGCTTCAATCCAGTGATACATCTCAAGTAGGTTTCTAAGCACCTGTTCACCACCTCCGTTTGTCCGTCAATTTGAGGATGGTAAGCTGTGGAGTACTTCAGTTTGGTGCCTGCCATCCTGAACAATTCTGACCAAAAAGAACTCAAGAAGACCCTATCCCTGTCAGATACTATGGATTTAGGGAATCCATGTAATCGTACCACCTCCTGAACGAAGACTTCTGCCACCTCCTTGGCTGTGTAAGGATGTACAAGGGCTATAAAGTGGGGATATTTGGTTAGCCTGTCCACTATCACCAAAATTGTATCCTTCCCTTGAGCCTTGGGCAACCCTCCAATAAAATCCATGCTGATATCTGCCCATATTCTGTCAGGGATGGGCAAAGGTTCCAATAATCCTGCTGGACTGAGGGTCTGATACTTGTTTCTTTGGCATACTTCACATCCTTGCACATATTCTTGTATGTCCCTTCTCATGCCAACCCAATAGAATAAACCAGATACTCTCTTCATAGTTCTGAAGGCCCCGGCATGCCCTCCAATTGCAGAATCATGGAATTCTTTCAAAATTAGAGGTATTCTAGGAGATTGCTTAGGTAGTACCAATCTTCCTTGATAATACAATAAGCCATTTCTGAACTTGAAATCTGGTATACTAGCTGGATTTCCTATCACTCTTTGTATGATATTCTGATATCTTTGATCTGCCTTCAATTCCTCATCTAGCCCTTCCCACTCTTGACAGGTAACAACGGACAAACTGTGTATACTACCCTTCCTGGAGAGGGCATCTGCTGCTTTATTCTCACTGTCGGGTTTGTACTTAATCACAAAATTGTATCCCAAAAGCTTGGCAACCCACTTTTGTTGTTCTTCCCCCATTATTCTATGTTCTGTTAGAAACCGTAGGCTTTTCTGATCCGTGTGCACCTCGAAGACCCTGCCTAATAAATAGGGTCTCCATTTTTGTATAGCCAGTACGATTGCCATCAATTCTCTTTCGTACACCGATTTATTCTGGTTCCTCTTAGATAAAATCTTACTCATATAAGCCACAGGTCTCCCCTCATGCATTAAAACTGCTCCTACACCTGTCCCGGAAGCATCTGCCTCAACCACAAAAGTCTTTGTAAAATCTGGAACCCTGAGAACAGGTAGAGTTGTCATAGCTTTCTTTAAGTGTTCAAAGGCGTGAGAAGCCTCGGGGTTCCATTTAAATGCATCTTTCTTTAATAGGTTTGTTAGGGGTGCTGCAATCTTACTATACCCTTTTACAAACCTCCGGTAGTAACCTGTTAGGCCCAGAAATCCCCTCAATCCTTTGACTTCTTTAGGTTCGGGCCAGTCCAACATGTTCCTAACCTTCCCCGGGTCAGCAGCTACTCCTTCCCCGGAAATTATATGACCCAAGTAGGTCAGTTGTTTCTGCCCTATTATACACTTTTTAGGATTAGCATACAACTGGTTGTCCTTGAGTAACTGTAGGATGGTACTCAAGTGTTCTTTGTGTTCACTTTCTGAAGGACTGTAGATAAGTATGTCATCAAAAAATACTAAAACAAACTTCCTCAAATACTTCCTTAAAATATGATTCATCAAAGCTTGAAAAGTGGAAGGTGCATTTGTTAATCCAAAAGGCATTACCAGGTACTCGTAATGTCCTTCATGCGTTCGAAAAGCAGTCTTGTGTCTATCCTCTTCTTTCATTCTGATCTGGTGGTAGCCCGATTTCAGATCAAGCTTAGAGAATACCGTGGCTCCTCCCAATTCATCCAGTAACTCTTCAATTATGGGTATGGGGTACTTGTCAGGCACTGTGATCCTGTTTAGGGCTCTGTAATCTCCACAGAACCTCCAACTACCATCATTCTTTTTAACCAAGAGCACAGGACTACTATACGGGCTGGTACTGGGCTGGATAATCCCTGTATTTAGCAACTCCTTCACAATTTTCTCTATCTCGTCTTTCTGGTAGTGAGGGTACTTGTAGGGTCGTATGTTAGGTATTTCAGCTCCTTCCCTAATGTTGATAGCATGATCACAACTTCTTTTAGGGGGTAACCCTGCTGGCATTTGAAAAACCTCCTTATGCTTGTCCAACACGTCCTGCCAAAATCCTCCTGGTGCAGCCCCATTAACAGATTCACCCTGAAGATTCCCACAGGTCACAAAAAAACCTTGGCCTTCATTTTTTATAGCCTTTACAAGTGCTTTCCAGGAAACTTGCACTTGATTTATAGTTGGATCCCCTTTTAGGCTCTTTATTTTCCCGTCTTCCCACCACTGAAGTGTGAGATCCTGGAAATTGATCTCTACATTCCCCAAACTGGCAAGCCATTCAACCCCAAACACTAAATCTGTCCCTCCCAGCTCCAACGGGTAGAAGTTTTGTGTAATATTAAGGCCTTGCACCCCAACCTGCAATCCCACACACCTCCTATTGTTGCTCACTCTGTCCCCATTACCCAATTCCACCTGAAATCCATCAATTTGGATGTATGGCAATTGTAATTCCTCCACTATGGCTTGTGATATGAAATTATGGGTGGCTCCACTGTCAATCAGGATCAACACAGATCTGTGTAACCCCTTTTCCATCAATTTCCCTTCCAACTTGAAAGTCTTCTGTGTAGTGATCCCTTGTTTGCTCATGGCTGACAGTTGCATTTGTTGCGGTTCTAGGGAGATATCTGTCTCTTTCAAATTCACTTCTGAATCCATAGCATCTGCTTCTTCCTCAGGCCCCTCTGTGAGAATAAACTGGTAGTATTTCATTTTGCACACATGATCCTTGCCCCATCTTTCCCCGCATTTGAAACATAGCCCCTTCTTGCTTCTGTCTTGTAATTCTGCTTGTGTTAGCCTCTGGCCACCCTTCCAGTTATTATTGAGATCCGGTTTAACTCCCACCTTAGGCTCAACTCCCGATTTTTCCTGAGACGCTTGAATATTGGTTTGGGATCTCCATTTGCTGCCATCTATCCACTGTTGTGGTTTCTTCAGTGCCTCTCCCTTCTCCTTTCCACTCCTCTAGTCCCCCTCCTTGTATTTTTCCCCTCGAAATGCAGCATTCTTCCCTTCTAACACCAGCGAGATATCCATCAGTTCAGGCAGAGTAGCATTTGGGTACAATTTGAGTTCAGCCTTCACCTCTTCCTTCAGGCCATTAAGGTAAATTCCTTTGAGTATTTCCTCATCAATATGCTTCATTGGACCTACCACAAGTTCAAAACGTTCTCTATATTCCATTACCGATCCAGTTTGTTTAATGCTTAGCATCGGTCCATAAGGATTCTGCAGCAGTTCTGGTTGAAATCTCCGTATTAGTGCTCCTTTAAATTCCTCCCAAGATTTCTCCTCATTTTGTTTTTCCCACCACTGGAACAAGTTCAGGGCTTTTTCCTCCATGGTCAGGACAACCAGCTCCACTTTTTCCTGATCGTGCACCTGGTTCAACTTGAAGAAGCGTTCCACTCTAATAATCCAACCATGAACATCAACTCCATTGAAAAGAGGCAGATCTACCTTCCTTCCCGTCCTCTCAAATCCGCAATTGACACGCGTATCACCTGGTTCGTGAGGTGAAACTGACGCACTGTGAGAATTACCTCCAGAGTGCGACTCCCTTGTCCGAGTACGTGTACCCGTTTGCTTAGTCGTACGCGACCTCCCCCTGGATCGTCGATGACTCTGGTTGGTCGCGATAAGGCGCAGTTCGGCCATCACTCCATCCAACTTGTCGGAAATCGTGCGCACCTCTGTACAGTTGCGTTCCAGTTTCTGCTCGATGTGGTTTACACTTTGTTCGAGATTCTCAACTCGATGTTCCATTTTTGAACGCGTCAATCTCATTCACAGTCCGCAGGAACGGACCGCTCTGATACCAATGTTAGACTCTAATATCAGCAAACAGTTTCCGTATTATTAGCAATGGAGATTGAGGAATTCTCAATACTCCAGAATGATTACAGGGAAGATAAAGAGAATAACAACCAAATCTAGAGAAGGAACAAGGAGTTTCTCTCTAGCCAAAGCCCAGCCATTTCTAACTGAATACCAGCCTGCCCTCCCCTATTCCCCTCCCTTCCTTATATTCAGAAATCAAACCAGCACATTAATTACTCCTGCCCCCTCATTCCCCTCCTCACATAAACTCCCGTCCCTTCATTCCCCTCCTCACATAAACTCCCGTCCCTTCATTCCCCTCCTCACATACACTTTATTAAAATACTCTACACCCCTTGTGCTATCACCGAACTTGTGACTCACCAATGCACTAGTGGCTTGACTGAATTGACGATAAGTGGTTAATTAATTAAATGACAGTATGACAGCACAAATTCTATCCAATGCATTTTAATTATTAAATTCTTGAACTTGATAAGTACATTTTCATATGAGAGGCATCATCTTACTTCTTGAGCCTGAGCAGGAGTGGCAACCTTTCCGGTACCAATGGCCCAAACGGGCTCATAAGCTAAAACGACGCTGGACCAATTTGAGACCTTTTCTGGAAAGAAATAGTAAAAATAGGCTCACAAAAACAAGAACTGTGACAGGGAAAAAATTATAAAACAAAGGTAGTGAAAATAGTGAAAAACAAGAACCGGACCAATTTGAGACCTTCATGATTTGACTTTACGGTTTTTAAGAAAGTGGATTTTTTGCTTTTGACTTTCCCATCATGCCCTTACAAAAAGTAGATTATGTGTAGTGGGAGAGAGAAAGTAGGGTGTAAAGTAGGTAATAAAGTAAGAATATAAGGGTAACTTTATATCAGAAAGTTACCATAAATGGAAGTGTGATGTTTATTTTGGATCTACCCAAAAAGGAAAGTGTGAAGTTTATTTAGGATCGGAGGGAGTACATATGTTCAAAAAACCACAACTAGTCAAGTGAAAAATTGGTTAAGTCCAATTTTAGCAAGTAGGGAATTACTACTGAATAAAGATGACATTCTAATTCAGTTCAAATGTCAAAAATCAGACATGTACCAGCAATTGATTTTGTTTGAGAAGCAACTACTTTCATTGTAGCCCCAGCTTCTCGCTGTTCAAGAGTCTCCCCAACACAAGCAATAACTTTTAAGCCTTGGAGAAGGGCGTATCCAACTTTATCCCCTACAAACTATAGAAAATATGTCAGGTAAAAGAAATACATAGAAGATAAGAAGGCACTCCTTTCATGCCAAAATAAGCTCTCCATTTGCTTTAGAGTTTAGACACGTATATTAAGAATTTGAAAATTCTGTGGTTGAATAAAGGAGACAATATCGACCGCATATTTTTTCACTTGAAAGAAATGATGTGTATTTCAGACAGACCAAAAAGGAAAGTGGAGCTAACTTTGGGATAAAGGGAGTAACATATTATCTAATGCCAAATACAGATGTTGTACATCATCTGATTCATTCAGTAGTTGTCTTCTTTCAGAATGACCGAGGATGACCCAGGGAATGCGCAAATTTATCAGCATCTCAGCACTGCACAATTAAGATATAGTAAATTTTTTCAATAGACATAACAACTAACATTAGCTTTAGAAGCAACTGCCTTTGCATACTTCAAATCCATATTACTTTAGATTTTCCACACAGTCAAAAATAAAAAACAAAGATAACATATAATCTGTTAATCACATTCAGTGACTGTAACACAAACATTATAAATTAAAAATACCTAACTTCACCCGTGAAAGCACCTCCCTTTCGAACCCAACAGTTTTGGGCAGCAATAGAGAAATCAGGCCGCAATAGAGTTTTGACCAAAGAAAGAAACACATAAGGAGGACTGACCACAACCTCTGCAGAGAAAAGTGCAGACACGAAACAAATGATGAATGAGTATTGTACTTTAACCTCTTTTCAGGTTCAAAGGAGAGGAGGAGAAATTGAGAGGGGCGAGAATAAAAAAGGAAGAGTTAGACAGATGTTATGTTTGGTCCTATGAAGAACTGTATGAAATTTTTAGTTTAGAAATACACATAAAAATGATACATTTGATAAAAATAAAAGAAGATGTCGTTTAAAATGGAATTAAGTATAGGGATGACTCCTGGGATGAGGAGTTTGGAGGAGTACAGCCACACATCATTCATTCACTAACCCACTCCCCCCCCCCCCCCCCCCCCCCTCACTCCAAAGTCCTCCAACCAGAGATGGGTTAAGGGCGCACAAGCAAACTGTAATAGGTGATAATAATCATATAAAATGCATAGCTGAATTGAATGCACAAATGAAAAATTAAATGGGTTTTAATTTTAGGAACTACAGCCTTGCATATTTTTAGTCATAGAATCAGGGTTTTAGACAAATTAAATAGAACCAAATGGGACCATAATGAGTTTCAGTTTAGTTCATCTTTAATAGTCTAGACTATCTTCATTGCAAGCTCGATTAAAACTACATATACTGCAGCTTAAGCTTAATTTGTCACCAAAATATAGCTCAAGAATAGCTTGAGCTAGGTTAGTGGATATTATGCTTGCCATGCTAATGAGCTAAATTTTAGTTAGGCTAGTTTGAAACTAGAAAAATCTCAAAGTTCGAGCTTGAGCACGATTGAGGGAAGATTAGAACATTACTGATGGCATGTTCAAAAAGTTCTGAGCCATTTATTACCAGGCTCGAGTTGAGTTCCTTAAAAAATTAGGCTCCAGTGAAGTTTGTTGAATTTAACATTAACTACTCAAATTATGTACTGTGGACTTCCACGATCACCCTTTACTGAAAACAAAAACTCAACTTTAAACTTCTCATGATCAAAGTATTACAAATTTACATTAACTTACCAACATCATCTTCTGGTGGAACTTCAGCTTCATTCAATGTGGTCACAATCTTCTTCACCTCCTCAGTTGTCCCATTCTATACAACCACACAGTGAATTAACAGTTATGACTTGATCACTTAACCAATATAAGAACGTAATCAGAAGGTTATCAACTCCATTACCAATATGAAACCATGAAGTGCTTAAACAAAGACACGAAATAGGAGAGTAGTGAAAACAAGGACATCAAAGATATCGAAATTTCAGGAACACGATCTTCAATTTTGAATGAAGAGTAGAAGAAAGAAAACGCAAATCAAACCAAAAACCAGAGAAAAATAAAAGCGGGTTGAGATCAACAAGTACCAACAGAAAGAGACTCGGGGGGAAAAAGACTAGAACTCTTACGCATTTCCAGTTGCCACCGACGAAGAATTTTCTGCCCATTTTTCACGCCAATAGACCAACTGACCAACTAATGATGCTGATAGTATGGAGAACTTGGAGATCGAAAAATGAAAATATGTTGCGACTGCAAGAGATGCCACTGGGCTTTTACTTGGAAAAATAAAAAATGAAAGAGTTAATTATCAAAATAGGACTAAAAGTCATTCACTTTTCACATATAGGACCAAAAAATAAACTGTGTTTGCATAGGATTAATTATGTGTACCTTGGACAATTATATCCTTATAGCTATTAAAATTTTTTAATTCCTAATAAAATAATAAAAAATAATAAAAATTCGTAAAAAATACTAAAAAATTAAGGAAAACATTTTGATATTAAAAATTTAGTTGATTTTTTTTTTTTCAAAAAATTAAAAAATTAAAAAAAAAATTAAAAACAAATAAAAACTAAAAACAAAAATCGCCGCCGCCTCTGCCGCCTCAGCACCACCACCTCCAGTCACCGGGGGAAAAAAATGCCAAGTTCATTACGAATGTCATATTTATGGCAGAAAAAAATGAAAATGTTGGCATTCGAAAAAAGAAATATGCCACATTTTTGGCATTTTCAGAAAAAAATGGCATTTTTCTGGGAAAATGGCATTTTTTTCATCGGCCGGAGGTGGTGGTGCTGGGAGGTAGTACAGGCGGTGGGAAAGGCATCCATATTTTTTTAATTTTTTTTTACGGAGCTTTACTATTTTTTATTAATTTTTTGAAAAATAAAATTATTTTTAAAAAAAGTTTTTGAATTTTTTATTTTATAAAAATTTTATAAATTTTTTAATTATATTTCTACGAATTTTTGAATTTTTTTCGAATTTATTATGAATTAAACATTTAATTATGGCTTTTGACTATTTTTAATTCATATTTAATGGAAGGGTAAGAATGGAATGCAAAAATAGGTATGTTTCCAATAGGACTCATATGGTCCTATTTTGGAATAAAAACATAGCAAGTCCTATTTTAGGTTTTTGCCATAGTTTTAGTCCTATTTGAAATAATTTCTAAAAATGAAAATATACAGCAGGTTTTCGGAACATATGTAATTTATTAGGGAGTAAAAGTTCTATAAGTTCTTTGATAATTGTTTTAAATTTCATACTCCCCTGTCTCCCGAAAACAACTTTCTACTTTCTTTAAATGGATGTCCCAAAATTAACTTCTCATTTCCATATTAGGAAAGTTTTTAAAGGTAAAAACTCATAACACTACAAAAAAACACGCGTTTTGTCACGGATTTTTGTCACGGACGGATCCGTGACAAAATCCGTGACAACCTCAATTATTGATTTTCCAACGGTAACCTTTAATAATACGGTACGGAAAAAGAGTTGTCACGGATAAATCCGTGACAACTCCGTGACAAAGTTTTTTATATATCCCAACATCATCGTCCATTACAATTGCAAGAACAACACTTATCAGTTCAAAAATTCGTAGATTCGAGTGATGTAGTGTCGGTTTAAAGATTGAATGATGTAATCTGTCAGTTCATCATTTTTCCTGTTTGTGCAGATAAGGTATGTCATTGTAACTAATTTCTTTTAATTATGTAATAAATTATATATTAGTGAGGTTAGTAGTTGTTCATTTATTTAAACTATTAACGTAATTTTAACGTAATTTAGTGAGGTCATGTTAATTTTCATATTATTAACGATATATTAAACTATTCACGTAATTTAGTTAAATTTAAATATTAGTTAAATATAAATTGTTGGGATATTGACCTAGAGGCCCAATACCCAGATCGAGAAGGCCCAAGATATCCGGCCCAAGCAACGGGCCCATCACTCTATGATGAATAGATCCAGTAAGAAGACATACCGAACGGAGTTCGGCCCAAATAAAGGTTGGCCCAGTAAGAAGACATACCGAACGGGGTTCGGGCTATATATCGTACTAGGGCCAATTTGATAGCATCTTCAGCACAGCCCAACATCTCGTTCGAGCAACGGCCAACCAGCAAGTGGCCAGGTGCAATTAATGTCAGACTATGACATCAGCAAGTGGAAGCATGGATGACCAAGTCGGTGGAACAATGGCCAATCAGCATGGGGCAGCCCATGCTCTCCATTAGTATAAATAGAAGGTTTCAAGTCATTGTAAGGGTTAGCATTTCAATACTCAGGCTCTAGAATAGCATCATTGCTCTTATTTCTTGTATTAAAGCATAGTTTCCGACTTACTGATCGGGAAATTCCTTGTAATCAGACTGGTTAATTAATACAAGTGAGCTTTCGAGTGTTAGTTAGTTCAGATCTTATATTTTTTACACGCTTTGATTCTGTGTCATTCCTGATATATCCAAAGTTCGTGTTGGGCTTTCGGATCTACGGGATTTACCCTCAACATTGGCGCCGTCTGTGGGAAACTTGCAAAAAGTTTCACATTCAAATCATCCAAAAACCTCTATTTGCAAAATGGTCAGAATCAGTTCCTATCATACAAGCAACGGTTCACACCGTCATGGGAGGAGTCACACCCCGGGGAGTCAAAACCCTCAGGGACAATCCAGTCGAGGATCGTATCCTTATTTTGATGGGGATTTTGTGATTCCCGAATCTCTGAGAAGAAATCCTCAGACCATGCGTGACATGGCCCAGGTCATGCAGCATATGGCGAACGAAGAGGAAGGAGTTTCCAGCTTTACAGGAGAGACTCCACGCACGGAAACAACCACAGCGTCATCCCGTTCGCATGCCCATCGGGATAATCGACGTAGCGCCCCACCAACAGCGCACCACAGTCCCAGTGACCGAACCCCGATCGGGTCACAAGCTAGAGGACCAACTCCCGTTGGTCATCATTTCCAGTATCCCGAGCGGGAAAATACTAGGGCCCCTCAACGACAATGGGACCGGGACTGTACGGATATGAGGGCTCCACCACCGCCCCCTTTGACGGCCCAGGAGGAAGAAATGGCCGAGATGAGGAGGCAAATGAATGAAATGCGAGACCAGATGAACAGGGCGCCTGTACAACCTGCCCCGGTTCAGCTGGGAATTACTTCCCCGTTTACTAGGGAACTCATGTACGCAGATATCCAAGGGGGTGCCAAACCCCCGACCGGCCAAATCTATGACGGGGTGGGAGATCCCCACGTACATCTGAGGAGTTACCAAGGGGGACTCATGCTGTTAGGAGCACCCGAGGCCGCCATTTGTCGGTTGTTTTTCAGCACGCTCAGGGGGCCTGCCCAGGAGTGGTTCGGGACACTGCAGCCCGGGTCAATCAACAGCTTTGCCGAGTTATCGGCGTTATTCTTGGCTCAGTTTGCTTCCAGTGCCAATCCCAAACGGCACTTCAGCTATTTGACCAGCGTGAAACAAAACGCCAAAGAGACCCTCAATCAATTCCTAAAAAGGTGGAGGGATGAAACTTTAACGGTGGGAAACATGACGGATGATACCGCCATTACCCTATTCACAAATGCTCTCCGAACGGGGGAGTTGTACAAAGAGTTGAAGAAAAATCCGGGTACGGTGTACGCCGAGATATTAGATAGGGCTCGCAAGCATGCCGCCCTAGAAGAGGAGATAATGATCAGGGATAAGATCATTGCGCCTGCTGCCCCGATCAGAATGGCCGATCGGCTGGGTCCTAGCCCAGCGGCCGCTTTACCTCCCAAACAAGGGAGATTTACACCCCTGGTCCTATCAGTAGCGACCATCTATCAGCACGAGAGGGACAATATTCCCCTCCCGACTAATTCTGGACAGTTCATGGGAGCGGATGACAATGCCTTCTGTAAATATCACAACAGGAAGGGTCATGCCACCAATGCCTGCAGGGCCCTTCAAACAGCCATTGAGGATTTGATCCGAAGGGGTCATCTGAGCAAATATGTAAATAAAGATCCAAATGCTATGGGCACGTTGAAACCGATCAGGAAACCTAATAGCTGGCGTCGAGATGCCCAACGTGACGCCCAGCCTCAAAATGATGTGTATGTTCCCCCCAGAGATGAACCAGAGGGCTCGGGAGGCCCTGGAAAGAAACCTCGGATGGAGGTCAATGTTATATTCGGGGGCGGGGAGACAGGGGATTCGAATGCCGAACGGAAAAGGTTCGAGCGAAGTCTGGATGTGGGATCCGTCTCCGCTCCCCCCCAGAAGAAAGGAAGGACAGACCCGATCACGTTCCGGCCAGCTTATTTACCCAACTCTCCAAGCCCACACAGGGATGAACTGGTGGTAAGCATGTGTATTGACAATGCTTTGATCCGCCGAGTACTGGTCGATACCGGGAGCAGTGTAAATGTATTGTATCTACAATCATTCGAGAAAATGGGCCTACAAAGGAGCCAAGTGATCCACCTACGGACCCCACTGGCAAGTTTCACCGATAACTGCATCGAGGCTGAGGGGACCATCCAATTAATGGCCGAAATTGGGGATGAAACCCACAAAGCGTCACTCCGAATGACGTTCGTGGTAGTAGATATAAAGTGTGCCCACAATGCCATATTGGGCCGACCGGGACTGGAAGATCTGGAGGCAATAGCCTCTGTCCGCCACTCATGCATCAAATTCCCTACAGACACTGGGGTTGGGGTGGCCAGAACTGATCCGACAACAGCCCGGACATGTTATCGGGAGGCCCTGAAACAGATGAACACTCGAGGGATGCGGGTGAATACAATTGAGGTGGAAACCCACCGAACGGAGTTCGAGGCGCACCCGGAGCCCGCCACCCTTCTTCAACAAATCGACCTCGATTTCCCCCTGAACCGTAAGGTGGCTATCGGGGTAGATATGGAGGCTGATATCCGGGATGGCGTGATTGCCGTCCTCAAAAAGTTTCAGATACTGTTTGCCCGGGGGCCAGAACATATGCCCGGCATTGATCCGGAGATAATATGTCACAAACTTGCCGTTCAGCCTGATGCAAAACCAGTCCAGCAGAAGAAACGGTATCAAGCAACCGAACGGTGGGAATTCACAAAGAAGGAGGTGGCCACCTTGCTGAGAATAAAGCACATTTGTCCGGTAATCCACGTAGAATGGCTATCCAATGTGGTTCTAGCCCCAAAACAATCTACTTGGAGAATGTGCGTGGATTACTCTGACCTGAATAAAGCGTGCCCCATGGATCCCTATCCAGTGCCGAGGATCGATCTGCTAG